ACTACAAAATATCCCGACATAAAAGTAGTTACCACAGTGTCTCTTTCCTTGAAATCTTTGAGTTTAACTTCATATACTGTAGCATCAAACATATCAAGACAGTGTAAAACCATTCAAGAGAATGACAGGATTACAAGGTATTTAGAACCAACTAACAGAAAATGAACAATGGTTTCTGTATAATCTCCTTGTCTATAAAAGTTTTTGTTTATATTATCACATATAATAAAATCCAATAAGATTCAACATGTTAAGACCAATGGAGACAGAAGAATAAAAGTTTGATGAAACTTCAAAACAAGATGATATTAAATCAGCACTAGCTATTATGATGTCTTGTTTTCTCCAAAATATCTGTTCTTACCATCCAACCTTCTCTGTCTCATTTCTGTTGAGCTCTTTTTCTGTCATTAGTTGTCAGTTTGTCTTCTTCATTTTGCTTTCTGCTCCATTCATTGTGGCCTCTCTGCCACTGTTTGTGAAATCTTGGTATTTTTCTTTTTTAGAATGTCCTAGGGGCTGGGGATATTAGCTCAGTGGCATAAGCGCCTGTCTTGCAAGCAGGCAGTCATGAGTTCGATCTCCAGTACCAAAGAAAAGGAAAAAGACAAAAAAAAAGAGAGTGTCCTGCAATATTCTCTGTAGAGTTGAATTCGTGGTTGCAAATTCCCCTAGTTCCTTTTTATCCTGGAAGCACCTTGTTTCTCCATTAATTTCTAAGGACAGTTGTGTAGGATATATCAATCTTGGCTGGAGGTTATTATCTTTCAAAGCTTGAATTATTTCCCCCCATGCTCTTCATGATTTGATGGTTTGTGCCAAGAAGTCTGCTGTAATTCTGATGGGTATTCTCTTGTAAGTGATCTGTTTCTTGTCTCTGATGGCTTTTAATATTCTGTTCTTATATTGGATTTCTGGAATTTTGATTATTATATGCTTGGGTGTAGCTCTGTTTGGGTTGTAGGTGGCTGGAGTCCTGTATGCCTCATACATCTGAGTATCTTTACCTTTTGCTAAATTAGGGAAATTCTCCTGGATTATTTCTGTGAATAGCCTTTGTAGTTCATCTGTTTGTGTCCCTACTTCTTCCTTTACGTTCTTAATTCTTAAGTTATAGATCCTCTTATCATCTTCTAGCCTTTGTATTATTGCTGTTTGTTTCCTTGTTATTTTTAAGAAGTTTTTCATTTCATGCTCCTACATTACAAATCTGCCCTCCAGTTCAGATAACCTATCCTTAGTTTCTTTCAAGCTGTTATGCCAGCTTTCAATAGAGTTTTTAGTTTCCTGGTAATCTCTTTGAACCTGCTTCACTTATTCTATGTTTTCTCTATTTTCTCCATCAAACAATTCTCCCCTTTTTTTCTGTTCTTCCATTCCACCATCTGTCTTTTCTTGGGCGGTGCTTAGCATTTCTCTAACTATTCTACTTATATCTTGCTTTCTTTCGTTGAATACTTCACTTTTGAACTCGTCTATGAGGCTCCGGAGATATCACTTTGTATCTATTGGTGCTGTGTCTGATATTGCATGATTTCTGTCCTCATTCTCCTTTACATTTACCTTTCCTGGATCAGTGTTCTCAGGATTGGGGACCAAGAACCCTTTCTTAGTGCTCCCTCTTCTCATATTTTTTGTTCCTTCCATACAGACATATATAAGAGGCCCAGTTTCTTTCTTTGTGGGTTACAGTTTGTTTGAATCTGGTCGGCTAGGTGTTCCTGCCCACTGCAGTGTACTAGGGAGACACAGACCAAGGCAGCATATGTTGGGCCCGCCCCTCCAGGTCAACCTGCTGCAGGCTTCACTGCTAGGGTACACTGCCAGGCGCAGAGACCTGGTTTGGGCTAGCCTACTGGGTATTAGTCCTCGGCTTCACCCAGGTCAGGCGCTCCCCACCAGTCCCGCTTGAGAGGGGAATATGCGACTAAAGTCACTGCAGCGTCCTGTTCCGGCTAGTCTGCCCAGTCCCAGAATGTCCTCTGTTGGAGCCTCCTTATCTATGGAAGGGACCCCATTCCTCTCTCTCACAGGTCGATGCGGGGCTCCCTGCCAGTTTTCTCAACTCAGTTCGCCAATTCCTGCTCTTAGAACTTTCGCATCTCTATCCCTGCTGAGCTGATTCAGATGCAGCAGTGGCGGCAGCAAATTCAAATCGCAGTTTTGAGACATGGGTTCCACCTTCAGCACTGAGATTTTATCTGTTCTGGTCATAGCATCGGGATTGCATTTCCAGTTGGTTTCTCTCAGCTTAGTTCGTTCCTGGGTCAGCAGGGTATATCTCCCCTTGCTTAGGACTCCTCACACTGCACCATTCCTGGATTCTAAGCTGGATATCTCAGAGAGCCTCCATAGCTGCTGTTATCTATCCACCATCTTCTCCCGGAAGTCAACTGTTTGCATTTTAACACAGTCTACCAAAAGGGCAAGCCCAGCAGATGCCAGAATGCACTCCTAAGGGAACCTACCTTGGAAAACTTCAAATCCCCACGACTCTACCCCGCACAGCTCCAGGCCAAGGCCACAAGTGTCCCCGTCCCTCTCCCTGTCCCTGTCCCTCTTGAGGGTCTACACTCTGTTTCCTTGCATATATGCTTGTAAAATTCTGCATGACAAATCTCTTTTTGCCTGTCTCTTACTGATGGGTCTTGAAATTTCTTTTTCTGTCGTAAAGGTCAGGAAACCTACAACCCGCCCTGTGGATAGAATGAGTGAAGGTTCCCTGTCTCCACTTTGGGGACCTCCTCAGACCCTGTCCAATGACAACTGCACCCCAGATTTAGCAGGAGGAGGCATAGTGCAGGGCCTTGGGCATCTAGAACAAGCTGAGAGTACCAGCTTGGTCCAGCCCCTCACTCCAAAGTCCCCTCCATGACAGCAGGCCAGAAGGGACTCATTTTGCTTTGGCTTATAGTTTTGAGGAATCTGCATAATTGCAAATCGGAAGTTTATAAGCAAAGACAGTTCTGTCTTTTCTTCATCCTTCCTCCTCCCCCTCCTTTTCTCTTTCCTGCTTCTTCCTGTGGTACTGGGGATTGAACCCACCATCTTCACACTAAGCTTAGCGCTTTGTTAAAATTTTTAATTTAGAGACAGGGTTTCATGAAGTTGCCCAGATTGTACTTATACTTTCAATCCTCCTACCTCAGCCTTCCAGACTGCTAGACTTACAGACATGGACCATTGTTAGGCTGGTAGCTCAACATCAGTGGCCTGAGGACTGGGGTGGGAGTGTCCAAAATATCATGCTCTGCCTGCTATTGTAGTTAAGAAACAAAGCCTTCAATGAAGAATACATTTACAATCATTTGTTAGGTCTCAGACCTAAAGTGATCCCACAGAACACAGTGACATTTATTTAGGTTGTGTATCATGCATATTCCTTGCAGCCACCTGACCATCTAGCTGTATATCATGCATATTCCTTGCAGCCACCTGACCATCTAGACCACAAGGCATGCAGCACTCCTGGGTGCCACTGACTCCCCCTGATGATATCTGGAAGGGGAGTACTCTTTAGAGACCCTCCCTCCTGGGGCTGAGACCCCCACTTAGATTCCTATGTGGTTATATAAGAACATAACCACGTAGATCAGCCCCTGAGATCCACTGACCACCTGAAAGAGCACAGAGACATTCTGAGATGGGGACATTCCAAAGTCACCCCTAAGGGGCTGGGGATTTAGCTCAGCGGCATAAGCGCCTGCCTTGCAAGCAGGCAGTCATGAGTTCGATCCCTGGTACCGATGAAAAAGAAAAAGACAAAAAAAAAAAAAAAAAAAAAACCAAAGTCACCCCTAAGCCTGCAGGTCAGTATCATAACCTCATGGTTCCCCAGAGTAATTCCCAGGAGTAATTCTTGGGAGCATATAAATGTATCCAAAGTTGCAACCCGCACGGTCACCTGTATGGCACTGTCACTTCCCCCCTGAAGGAAGATGTAACTCCCTCTATTTACTTTACAATAACTGGCCGCCTGTGCATCATTTCTCTTCTACAGAGAATCGAACTCACCATCTAGTGCTTGCCAGGCAGGTGCTGTGCCACTGAGCTATGTCCCTGTCCTTGCCTGTGTAACTTGACCAATTTTTTTTTTAAAATCAAAGACATAAATAATCTAGGACCAAGAAAGTGACTGGCAGTTCCTGTGCTTTGAAAACTAGCTGGCAGTGAGTGCCTGTAACCCCAGCATTCCAGAAGGCTGAGAACGATCTTTGCGATTAAGGCAAGTCTGGGAAATTTAAAGACTCGGTGAGAACCTATTTTGAGAAGGGGTCAGGGATATGGCTCAGTACAAAGACCTTGGGTTCAACCCCCAAGGTCTGCAAAAAAGAAAAAGAAGGGAGGAAGGGAGGGAGGGACAAACTGCAGGGAGGGAAGGAAGGAAAGAAAGAAGGAAGGAAGGAGAAAAAACACTGGACATTACGAACACATGGAAATACTGTCAAGCTGCACACTGACCTGTGGCGTGTGGACACCAGGTCCTTCTGCTGGCTTCACACTCAGGGTGCCTTGGAGGCGCTTCCCGCCCTTCAAGAGCCCTCTGTCCCCATAGCCCTTCATGGTGTGGCTCACATCCAGGCCCGGTGCCCCCTGCCCTCTACTCTCAGGCGGCCCTGCCCTCACCCCCACTCTTGTGATCCCCTTCTCCAGCCCCTCCCAGAGGCACTGTTTTCCTGGCCCCAGAACCCTCAGCACTTGAGCTGCCTTACATGGCCACTTTTTGCACGGCAACTGTGGTTGCTAACTGACTGGTAGACCTTCTACAGCACCACCAGGAGAAGCTGGAAATGCCTAGGCCTCAACAGCTGGGAATAGCGCCCCCACTTCCGTACCCCAAGTTAGAGCAGCTGGAGGGATGAATCCACTCCTGCTTGCCCTGTGCTCACTCCCTGCCCTCGCTTGCCTGGGCAGCACCGTCCCGTTCTGCCCATGCTCCTGCCAGACCACGCACAGAGCCGATGCCCCAGCAGCACAGAAAGGGGACACTCGGTACTCACCTCCCCAGCAAAGGCCCCGCAGAATGGAGTTTGCAGAGAGCGTCAGTCACTCTGACTGTGGGTCCTTATTGTCATCCCAGTACCAAACTGAACAGATCTCCAGACTCAATTCTTTCCTCATCCTGAGTCACTCGCTCTTCTCTCTGACCCAGATAGGTGAAGGAATCTTCAAGAACTCTGTGTCACAAGAATGAGTTGCATTTGATTTGCTTCCAAAACTGAATATGGTCAGGCATGGTGGTGCACGCCTGTCATCCCAGCATTTGAGAGACTGAGGCAGGATGATTGCTGTGAGTTAAAGGTCAGCCTCTACTACTAGCAAGTCCCTGTCTCAAAAAGACTAAATAAATAAATACATAAATAAACAGCCCCACAAAACCTGGCTATGCTAGCCCTTGTCATCCTCTGAATTCAGACCCAGATTTCTCACTGTGCCACTGAGAAAGGTCAATAAACCCGGAAACATCTTCCAGCCTCTCCCCAGGGAGGAATTTAATACACAGGTCCCCGTAGGGCCGTGCTGGGAAAGTTCCCTCCCTTCTGCTCCCTCCTCACCCAACAGCACCTGGACTGGGGCCACGCTTCGATTCGCTGGGGAGGTTTTCAAAGGAAGTGGGTACAGACCCTGAGGAAGACGTCAGGGGAGGAGAGAGAGACTGGGCCTGACGTCAGGAGTTTCGCAGGAGAGAAGGTCCCTGAAGCGTGGCGCCTCTGTACACACACAGTACCAGGCAACCAGAGCTCCAGCCTGGAGCTGTGCGTCATCCCGCCGGGTAAACCCAGGCCTCTGCTGTGCCCCTTTTGCAGAGGTGGGGTTCGGGCGTGACTCAGGGGGCAGCAGGTCCCTAGGGTGCCAGAGGGAACCGTCCCTCCCGGGGCCAGGAGGAGAGGAGACATTGCCCAGCCCAGCGCAGCCCAGCTGCAGCGAGCCAGGCTGTGACCCTCCAAATGGGTCCATGGGGGGCCCGGCGGGTGGCACAGCTCTAAACCATTCTTCTCTGGACCTGAAAGCCAGTGTGCGCTGGCTGGGGAAATCGAGGCACCTGTTTATTTTCGAGTCCGAAAGAGCCCAGGTGTGTTTCAGGAGGCGATGGAGAGGACTCACGTCGGGCTTCTCCACTTCACAGCGGAGAGGCCTGGAGCCCTGCTGGGTTCCGGCGCACCATGCCCGCCGCGGCCAGCAGGGGGCAGTGCCGCACTTCGAGGCGGCGGTGCATCCGAGGCGCGCACTGATGCCCGGCCCCTGGCTCTCCTCGCCTCCTCTCCTCCCTCCCCTCCTCCTCCTTGGGGCTTCCCTCCCATTTCAAGCCTACTGTTTCCTCTGTTCCAGGTTAAAGGAATGCCAGGCCTCGCTGAGCCCAGGCAGGGAACATTTCAGGGTGCAGGCCACCTTCCCCCCGCATCCCTGCCTTCAGTCCTGCCTTGAAGGCCTGTCAAGCCAGCACGCTGGTCCCTGGTCCCAGAAGTCCCCGCAGCTCCTGCTTGAGACCCTGTCTTCCTGCTCTGGGCCTAGATGTGACAGTTACAGCTTCCAAACTCTCTGAACTATGTCTGTAACCGAGCCCCATGGACTCTGCCTTAAGAGTGCCAAAAACATCAGAACAACCCACAGCCCAAGCTAGCACAGGCTACCTGCTGGGTGAGGACTCTCCTGGGAGCCAGTGCCCTTCACTGGTCTTGAGAGAGTTGAAGGGAAGTTCCCAACCGGCCTGATTTCCTCATATTTTACTTCTGCTTCTCTTGTGGAGGGGTGTGGCTCTCAAATGGAAGCTCCAGCAGGGAAAAAGAAAATTGGTTCGTCTCTCATGACAGAGATGTTCACCTCTTAACAAGGGGAACATAACTCCAAGGAATTGAATTCTAAAGTGGTGCTCCGAGTTCCTGGCTTTCTGTAGGGACGTGTTTGGGCAGCTGACTCTAACCCAGTAACACAGGGCCAGAGCACAGCTCTGGGTAAACAACCATCTGCCAAGCGTGGTTTTCTTCATGGCTGGTCCTGATGACCTCTCACAGTGGTGGTGTGTGGTGTCAGCTCCCAGCAGCGTCCCTGGTGCCTTTGCTGTTGGTTATGGTTTGTGTCTAGGTGGCCTCTCAAAGCCTCAAGCAGTCACAGGTGGGGCTTCTTCAGAGGCAGCTGGATCTAGAGAGTGTGAACCTAGAACTGATTCACAGTACAGTGCTAAGCTCAAATTGGGGGTGATGGTACATGCCTGTAATCCCAGTACTCAAGAGGCTGAGGGGAGAATTGCTGGGAGTTCAAGCTCAGTTTGGGCTACATAGTGAGTTCAAGGACAGCTTCAACTGCATGGCTGACCCTGTCTCAAAAAAGAATGATGCTAGGCTCAAGGATGCCCGGATTCAGAATGTGGGTACTGCCAACCCTAAGTAGTCTGAATAAGATAAAAAGAGCAGAAAGATGCTGTTAGGGTCCCTTGTTGCTTTTGCTGCCTTGTGGGCTCCAAGAAGTGTTCTCCTCTGTGAAGCCCCCATGCCTGGGAGCCAGCTGATTATGGATTGAAACCTCTACTTGCTGTGAGCTAAACTTTTTTCTTTTACCTTTGGAGAAAAGTAACCTCAGCTCTCCCCCAGCAGCTCTGGTGTGGGCCCAGCTCTAATTCAAGGTTTTCTCTACTTCCCTGAGCTTCTTGGGGCCCAGCGCCCACGGCCCATAACACAGTGCCTGATGGAGCAGATAACCCCAGAACCCAGATCCCTCCGCTGCTATTCCAACCCACTCTTTCCAGGAGCCGCCTTCCCCCTCTGTGTGCCTCTTCAGGACTTGGATGGGTTGTTTGAAAACTCCTACGCCACTGAGCAGCCCATGCACACTGAGGAGCTATGTCAGACTCTGTCATCCACTTCCATTACAAACACCTGCCTGTCATGTTGACACAGGGATTGGCTCATACCAGGAACTTAGGGCCTTTTATGGGCCCTGCTCCTTTGGCCTGAAAGCAGGGCAGAAGTCTCAGGTCTCCTTGCAGCTGGAAATAATAGACTGAGGTAGAAGATGGGAAGCTCAGGGCTCAGGAGGCTGAGGCAGGAGGATCAGTGGACTTTAGAGGCCAGCCTGGACTACAGAGTGAGTTTGAGCTAAACCTGGATTACATGACACATCCTATCTCAAAAAACAAGAACAAAAACACAAAAGAAGATGGAAAGTTTGAGGCCAGCTTGGACTACATAGTGAATTCCTACATAGTGAGATATAAAAAACAAAAAAAAAAAAATTTTTTTTTTTCTTTTTGAGAAAGTCAGCTCTTATGTAGTGCTGACTGGTTTTGAACTCACTTATATAGCACAGGCTGGCCTCGAATTCACAGCAATCCTCCTACCTCAGCCTCCCAAGTTCTGGGATTACAGCTGTGTGCCACCATGACCAGCAAAAAAATAATAATAATAATAATGGGTGGAAGAAAGAAACAAACAGTACTTCTAAAAATGAGATTAACAGTAGACTAGAGGAAAAGAGAATGTGAGATATAGAATTCAGCCAATAATAGAAATAATGGAATAGAATAGAGTAATAGAAATCAGCCAAAGGGAAACAGACAAAAGAAAAATGAACAAAGCTTTACTGGACAATGTCAGGTTGTCTAACAATTACAGCTCCTCCACCACAAAATGAGAGAAGCCAGAGAAAGTACTGGAAGAAATAACTAAAAAATTTCAAAATCTAAGCTAGGCAAGATGGCTACCCCTATAATCCCAGCCCTCTGGGAGGCTGATGCAGGCGAATCACACATTCAAGTCCAGCCTGAGCAATTTAGTGACTTAGTGAGTCTTTAAGGGCTGGGAAGGAGCTCAGTTGGAGGCTCTGGGTTTGATTCAGAAACAACAACAAAGGGTGGAAGCCAGGAATCATAACACACTGTTGCAGCTTCCTAAATTCCCTGTGAGGGGATGCGTGGCACGGATGGTACCCTGGGGTCCACAGTCCCCCCATAGCTCACCTTGGGGGACCTGCCCCCCCCCCCCCCGTTGCAAAGCTTCCCAGGGGGAACTGTGTCATCTGCATGGAACATAGAGCTGGAGGGTTTAGCTCAGCAGCATAAGTACCTGCCTGGTATGTGCAAGGTAGTGAGTTCAACCCCTGGAACCAAAACAATAATGGAAAACAAAAACAAATGAACAAATATTTTTAAAAAGACAAGTTCAAATCCTAACACCCTACACGCACGCACACACACACACACACACACACACACACACCCATGAATGAACCTAGGGCCTCAGGCAGGCCAGGCAAGCCCTTCACCACTGAGCTATGTCCACAGGCCCATGTGACTTTGCAGGCAATCTGGGTTTTTAGGAAAGTAATCGCATCATTCTGGGTTAGATGGGCCATCTGTAGTCCTAGCTATCTGAGAGGCTGAGCCAGGAGGATCGCTTGAGTCCAGGAGCTGGAGACCAGCCTGGGCCGCATGATGAGACAGGACCTCACGACCTCTACATAAAAAGCTAGGAAGAGGCAGCAAGGGCCCAACACCCCTCCAGCCCGTAGAGGAAACACAAGGGCCTCCAGAGAGAACTCATTTCTGTCATTTTAAGCCACCAAATGTGTTACAGCAGCGCTGGGGAATTCATCCAGTCCCTAAAATTTCCCTTTTCTGGATGCTTCCAGTCTTGATGAGGTGCCCAGGGTGAAGGGAGTGTTGAGTACAGGATCCTATTAAGTTGACAAAACAAAACGCTTCAGGAGCCAAGTGAACCAGAAAAAACAGGATGAGTAGAACAGGTTGGACCGGTTTTCTCATAAATCTCAATGACTTTAATCTTAACCAGGCTGAATGTTTTTCCTGGTAAAGGGATGAACCCAGAAGTGTTCTACCTCTGAGCTCCTTTCCCAGCCCTCTTCTTATTTTGAGGCAGAGTCTTGCAAACTTATTCAGCAGAATTCAAACTTGCAGTCCTCGTGCCTCAGGTGCTGGGATTGCAGGTGGTCACCCCCACCCACCTCTCTGCCTGGTGGATTTTACAGTTCATGGATTCAGGGGGAACAGCTTGAATGGCAGGCACGCTGGGTAACATACCGGGCCCTGCGCTGGGCCCACTAGGGAAGCCGTGAGTCAGCTGCCCTCTAACATCGTCACTTTCTCGAGGGTGTAATGGGAGAAGCCAGTCATTAGCCAAGGTGTGGCTCAAAATCAAGAGGGACCCGGTGTATTCCACTGGGGAGGACAAACTGAGGCCCCTCCCCGAGGAGGGGGGGCAGCGGCTCGGTGACAACACCAGACCTGACCGTGGAGTCCACTGCCCAGGGAAGGCGAGGGCTGAGACCCACCAGGAACACTGTGGGAGACTCCCACCAAGGGGCCCTGCCCTCTGCAGGGTCGGAGGATACACAGCCATCTGTCCCTGGCCTACAAGGTCCCCGATCCTGAGGCTTAAACAATCTGTCTTCCCTGTCAGCCATCCCCTGGGTCCGTGCTTACTTACGGCCATGTTTGCACGGGTGGAGGGCCACACCATCGGGGTAGAAGGCTGAGATTTTTATACTTGATTTTTACCTGAGGGCAGTGTCTAAAATGCCATCCCAAGGGGCCGGGGATATGGCTCAGCTGTATAGCGCCTGCCTGGCAAGCGCAAGGTCCTGAGTTTGACTCCTGGCACAAAGACAGAGAGAGAGAGAGAGAGAGAGAGAGAGAGAGAATGCCATCCCAGGACTCCTTTGATCAGGTCACAGTGACCATCTCAGGTCTCAGGATAACAGATATTGTTGAAGACTGACCTTTTTTGGTTCAACGGGGTCTATTGCTCTGGGTATCACCAGCAACAGTTCTTCTGGGTAAAACTAATTAACAATATGTAAATATTGGCTAATGTTAGTGGTCAAGGAGATCAGAATAAACTTTATATATGTGTACTTGAAAGGGATTCTTGATGTTTTATTAGGATAGGAGAAGAAACGGCTAGATTATCCAGTGAGGTATACATGGATCTTATGCATAGCTTACAATGTGGAGAGTTAAAGTTCCACCACCAACCCATCACTCAGCTGCAATGTGTTCTTTTAAGAAATGATGGTAAAGTCACCATGATTCCCAATAACTAAGTTGCTCAAGCTGGGCTCAAGCTTGTGATCTTCCTGCCTCAGACTCCCGGAGTGCTGGGATTACAGGACTCTGCTACTGACTGGTTAAATTTTTAGTTTCTTTCTTCGGAGTGTGTGCTTTAACCTGTTTGCCACAGGACCACAAGCACTCAAGGCTCCCAAAGAGGGACCTGGAGCTTTCAGAAAAGTGAATTGTGATCAGCAGTAAAACAACCTGGTAGTGAACATGGGCTGCCCCACCGGTCCAAACAAAGGGGCCTGGGCCCAGCAACCAGCGCGCCAGGCTCCCCAGCACAGCCAGTTCCCACTTGCTGGTCTTCCTCCTTACGCTCCTGTGCCAGCCCCTGCACCTCCGCCCTCTGCACAGCTCCCCACGCAACCACCCTGTGCTCACAGCCTGGCCTGCTCGGAGTTCAGCCTGGAGTTCAGCACTCGCCGGGCCCCTCAGCATCTGCTTTTCTTCGCCAGATTGGACAACTCAGGACCATATAGACGTAGGTCTGTGTGATCTCCAGGGCCATGCTCAACCTGCCAGGGTGCCTGTGAGGGATGCCTCGAACATTTCCCCCAAATATCCCTTGCCTCTGCCTAGCCCAGTATAGAGAAAGTCAGGGTGTTCTGATCGCCAGTCTCCCTCCACCCGAACCCCAGGCCCTCAGCTTCTGAAGCTGAGCTTAGGATCATCACTTAATTATTCCAGACATAAAATAACCAGGAGCTGTGTCTGCCCTCGGCCTTTGGACAGGCAGGGCCGGGGCTATGACTCAGTCTGCTGGGCTATCCGGAAGCCAGGACCTTAGTAGTTCTGGGATTAAAGGTCCTTCTGTTTCCAATAAGGTTCTTTTCTGGGGTATTTCCCCAATACTTAGCTAAGCAAAGAGGAAAAGAGTACATCGTTGTCATATATACACACATATATATGTGTGTGTATATTTTTTTAAATCGGTACCAGGGATCGAACTCACGACTGCATGCTTGCTAGGCAGGCGCTTATGCCACTGAGCTAAATCTCCAGCCCCTATTTTTTTTTTTTAAACTAAGGATTTTTAAACTAAATTTTTTTTAAAACTAGATCAAAACCAGGGCCTTTGTCAGCAAGTGTTTTACTCCTGAAATGCCCCCGTGGCCCTTAGACACTCTTTCATCTAGCCTCCTTGGGAGGCTGAGGCAGGGGGATCACATGTTGGAAGCCAACCTGAGCAAGTTAGTGGGGACCGCCCCCCCCCACCAAAAGCAAAACAAAACAAGCCAGGGATGTAGCTCAGTGGTAAAGGCCTTGCCTGGCATATATGAGGCCCTCGCTACAATCCCGCAGCACACAAGCCAAGAATAAAGAGCATAGTGTTGTTTGTTTGTTTTGGGAGTGTGTTTTTACTTTGCAATCAATTCTTGGTAAATTTGGGGTAGAAATTCTCCCATTTTGGCAGTCTGC